TTCTTCAAGTGCAAAAGGTGGACGAACCCAAAGCGCTCTTCAAAGCATTTTTATTCTGTTTTGAGTTTAGGTATGCCGTACTATAAAGAGGGATGCAATTTTAGGTGGTCTGACGAAGATAAAGTGCTCAAGCATAAAAATAAAATTTAAAGAAAGACACAAAATCACCTCACGAACACTTACATATAGTTTATGGACTTTTGGTTGCCAGAAGTCCTGGCGTGAGCCAGGAGTTCTGGCAGTCGAAAGTCCAGACATTCGGTGCCGGAAGTCCCGGCGCTTGCTGACTTAGCCGCCAGCCCACCTGCACACCTTCGTCCGTTGAAAGTCCCGACAGGAGTCGAGAGTTCTGGGTGCCGGAAGTCCCAGCTCTCACCGGAAGTTCCGATGCCTTGGGACTTAACCCCCTGGCTCGGCTGTGCGTCGGGAGTCCCAACAAAAGTCAGAAGTCCTGACTGCCAGAAGTTCTGGCATTCCGCCGGGAGTTCTGGCTCTGGCTATGTTGACCATCTTTGACTACGCCTTGAACAGTGTTTTGTAGAAGGGCCAGAAGTTCTGATGATCTGTGTCGAAACTTCCGACTCAGATCTGAACGGTTAGATTTGCCTATGAGTATAAATAGTTCTCTGCTCTCTTCTAACTAGGACCACTCATTCATTGCTCACCAACCTTCGTCCAAAACAGCTCCGAAGCATTCAAGGCACCCCTCTCCTCTCCCCTCCCCTTTGCTCTAATCTTTGATTCCCGTAGGGTTTTGAGTGGATGAAGAATGGATTGAGTGAGAGAATCACTTTGGCAAGCTTGAGCACTTAATTTCTTCGTCAAGCCAGTTGGATTTGCATCTATTACTCTTGGGTTCTTGGAACCCTTGCCGGCTAGGCGTCTCCCAAGAGCTTCCATCTTGTGGAAGAGCCTTAGGAAGTTTGTATTACCCTTGATTTCTTAGTGGAAAGCTCAAGTAACCTTTGTGGTTGCTTTGAGAGAGGCAAGAAGGTGGAAGAGACTCTGACCTTTGTGGTCACCTCAACAACGAGGACGTAGGAGCTCCTTTGTGGGGTTGCCGAACCTCAGGATAAATTCTTGTGTCCCGCGTGCTTGTTGTTGAACTAGGCGGAGCTAGGAGTGTGGGAAATTGGGAGAAGATGGAACAACGGCGACGAATTTCGCCATTGAGCGACGCGGCAGTGCTCTGGCAGAGAAGAGGGAAAGAGAGGAGCGCCGGTGGCTCGAGCTTAAGACTTGCTCACCTACGCCTGGCCGCCTACGCGGCACAGCCCTAAGGCCGCCCACTGTCGCCCGCTACAGCAGCGAGCCCCTCCGGCCTGCCACCCGCCACAGTAGCGCGCCCTGCCGGCTGCTGCACGCCCCTCCTTCCGCCGCCCGCCTGCGCGCACGGAGTGTAAGTTCGCCCACTAACTCCGCCCACACTCCTCAAAGCCGCGCAAGAGCCACTGCCCGTTATGTTCCATACGCGCCAAGTACCTCCCTCTGCCCGTTAGCATGTGCCAATGGCGATGTACGCAGGCCAAGTACTACTACAGACGCGCGTATGGAACACACGTCTGCCACAAAGTACAGACACGTATATAGCAGGACGCGTCTGCTATAAGTAGGATTACTCAAGACGCGTGTTAGAAACACGCGTCTGCAACAACATATGCGTCTGCAATAAGAGATCTTACTACAGACACGTGTCACATACGCGCGTTCGTAGGGTTTGATCACGTTATCCGAGACTCAGAAATCACAACATGCGTTTGTAATAACTGTTGCAGATATAGACGCATTTTATATACACGCGTATGTAGTAAGCACTTATTACAAACGCATGTTGAACTCGCTGGACCGGCGACTTATTACAGACGCGCGTTAGGAAGGCACGTCTCTAGTTGTACTACAACAGACGTGCTTTACTGGTCGCGTCTGTGGTGAGGTGGTGGATACGTGGTTTTTTTACATAGTGCCAATTCGTAAAGACAAAGTCACAAGGAAACAATACCAGTCTGTCTGTAAAAAAAACATCTATATATATGCGTGCCCGATCCATGTGTACGTACTTATTACAGACATACTAATGTGCACCCTTGTGCATACACGGAGACACGGACAGATTGCATGTTCAGTGTTGGTGTTTCTTGTTGTTGCCCTAAATTGCTTCCATCCCACCCCTGGGCTATGCTAGCTGGGCACTGGATCCAGAGGTCGAGTGTGGCGATGCTAGATACTAGTACTAATAGCTAGCATCCCCAGCGCCCGTCATGAGAGGTGACGAAGGAAAAAACAGGCGTCCTAGCTTGATTTGTCTGCTCATGGAACTGCTAGTCCATGGTACGTGCTCTCCGTTTAAAAAAAATATAATTCTAGCTCTGTCTTCAGATTCAGATTTAGAATTGAGTTTTTTTAGACGTAGGGAATAGGTCACAACCGCAGTTGAAAAACACAGCAGTGTCTCCATACGATCGGCATCGAATCGGTTGGCAGCTGCTGCTGGGGCTGCTGGTCTGATGTCTGATCTGCCACTGCCAGGCCCAAGATTTTATTCTCCGCAGCGTGCCTGTTCAAACCTGCTGCTGAAGCATGATGCTAAAGTGCTCAAGCTGAACCCATCCCCATTCTTGCGCTCCCCATCTACCCAGCCAGCCAGCCAACCATACACAAGGAAGGGCCAGACAAGGCCATGTCGCCATGACAAACAATAGTCATTTAGCCTTGCCAACAGCTCCATCTCCCCACCTCGTTCTTCGTGAGACATTAAGAGCAAGTACAATAATTAACTTATAGTTAAGCAAATGCTAATGTGGAGGAGAGACATGAGGAGAGAGACAGGAGCTTGGCTCTCATGCAAGCAACAAGCTATGCACGGAAACATAGGCAATAGTAGGTCCATACACTAAATGGATATGAGGAGAATTAGAAAAGAGAATGTAGAAAAATAACAATAAAATTTTTTAGAATACATGTAAGGATACATGTAATTAACATGGGTTACAAAATCCAATTCGTTCTTCTTGTACTACAACTTAGGGACCCCTGAGCATCTCCGAGAGTTTCCAAAACCTACTTCTAGTCTTAGATTTTTTTACAAGATTGAAAAAAACTGCTCTCCAACAACTCCCTATCTCAAATCTCAATATTTTCACACTTGGAAAAATCAACCCCAATTGCGCAGAAATATACGCACACATATCCATCGGCCAATCTAGAGGTGAAATGACTTAAGGAACAACAAGGAGTAGGACAGAGCTCCTAATGCAAATGTATAAGAGAGAAACAAAGTATAAAAGTAGTTAGGGTGATTTACAAATAGTCCGGGCTTTCTTATGCAAAATTGTCTTATATATTTTAGGAGCTCGATTTTAGAAATTGTTGGATGAACCAACAAATATGCTCCCAAATTTTTAACCACTTGTAAAATTCTTTGACTTACCAATTATTTTTTTGCGGAATTATCGGAGATGCTCTAGTGGCTAGTAGCAAAAACAAACTATTTTTCAAGCATAAAAATCCATTCAGATTAGAATTATAAAGTGACACAGAGTGCAAAATCACATACCGTGACCGCTAGGGCCCTGTTTGGATATGCTTGTCTGAGAACCGATTTTAATCTTATCAGGATTTGGTGATAAGTCATGGTCCAAAGAATCTAGGCATTTGACAATCCTAATTTTTTGCCAATAGATTGTCTGTTCTGAGTGAAAAATGACATGTATGCCTTTCAGGTTGATATGATAGCTCATTTTTTGACTGAATATGAGCTGAAAGCAATGATGGTGGTACTAATTTTTTTCAGTTTGTTTAATAGGAAGTTTGTCACATTAATAACTAATCCATAGGAAAATAAAATGAATAACTGGTGAAGCATTTTCATTCTCTAAAATACATTGAAATCTGTTTTTTTTTCTTTTTTGCGAGGACACATTGAAATCTAGATGGATACAACCAATCACCCAACCATAGATGTGGTCATAGCATAACGCCCATCTCCATGTCATCCCCTGAATAACTCCATTCACCTATGGTAGATTCAGTTCCATACCTACTATCATCTTGGATATTTGACTGAAAATCAACATCATTTATGTTATTCTTCCTAATGAAATTGTGAAGGGGCATAGAAGCAACTATAAATTTTTATTGCTTGTTAACTGGAAATTAAGGCATGTTTGAGTGAATGATCGTTTCATCTTTAGGACTCCAAATCGCGACCATGTTGCCATTCAGAAACATGGTGCCGTTGTCCCTTGTATGGTGTAAGATATCCTTTCCTATGTAAAATTGAAGTATATATATACAACACAATCATACAAGTAAATCCATCGATATAAGTAACTGTAAAATTGGAATGTTCAAGGATACCTGAACGTGAGCTGGTGGCAGGGAAAGAGGCGAGCGCTTCACACCGCCAGGGCTACCATAGGAGTTGGGCGTCGGTGACTGATCTTGGGTGTCGGTAAAAACACGGGCACGAGCCATGTCTAATAGCATGGACCCAGCTGGCAGCTGCCGGTGGGGCCCGGCTCCCCGGTGCACGGCACTTGCCATGCCATCTATCTGCTCCGTCTCATTCATCACCCTCCGGCCTCCCCTCCCCTGACAGGCAGAGGCAGAGGCAGCAGAGGCAGAGGCAGCCAGCCAGCGTTGTTGCCTTGTTGGGATCCCCTCCACGTTCCCGCCGGCCGGAGCACATGGCGCGCCATTCAGAAGCCCTCGCCTCGGTTGACTCACTCAACCGCTGTACCTGTACCATCCATCCTCTGTGTTGTTGCTGCCTCTGCCTCTGCCTCTGCCTCTGCCTGGTGCCGCAGTGGCGATCCGACCGACACAACGTCGCTGCTCCTTCCTTCCCTTCCCTTATCGTCGAGCGAGGCGGTGCTAGTATATATATATAGCTCTGTCGTGCCCGTGTTGTCTCATGCGAGCCGGTGGATGCTGCGTGCGTCCTACTAGGTGTCTGTCCGCATTGCCATTTGGTGATCTGGAAGCAGCAAGGTTGGCTGGCAATGGGGAAGGCGGGGCGGTGGCTCAAGAGCATCTTGGCGGGGAGGAAGGACAAGGCGCTGCAGCAGTATCAGCAGCAGCAAGGCGACGCCACGCCGCTGCCGGCCGCCGCGAGCAGCCCCCGGGAGAAGAAGCGCTGGAGCTTCAGGCGGCCAGCGCCGACGCCACAGGGGAAGGTCAATAATGCGGCGCCGTCCCCGTTGCCGTCGGCGCGCGAGCTCGACCAGAGCGAGCACGCCGTGGCGGCGGCGGTGGCACGTCTGACGGCTGCGGAGGAGAGCCATCTGCCCGTGAGCTGCCGCCCCGTCGAGGACGCGGCCGCCGCCAGGATCCAGGCCACCTTCAGAGGCTATCTTGTGAGTCCTTAACCTGGAAGCCTGTGACGAACACGAGGGCACCATGGTGACTGACCACTGATCTGACTGACGAACGCGCCATGGACGTACATGCAGGCTCGGAAGGCGCTGTGCGCGCTGCGCGGGCTAGTGAAGCTGCAGGCGCTGGTCAGGGGCCAGCTGGTGCGGAGGCAGGCCACCGCCACGCTCCGCCGCATGCAGGCCCTCGTCGACGCGCAGTCCCGCCTGCGGGCCCAGCGCGCGCGCATGCTGGACACCGACCACGCCACGCCGGCGGCCTACCAGCGCCGGTCACCGCAGCATCCCGTTCCAAGGCGCCGCAGCTCCTACGTATGTCCACACACACTTGCATGACCGACTTCGCACCATTTTGCTCGCCTGGTGAAGTGGTGAGTGGTGACAGCTGACAGCACGCGGTTCTGCCATGTCGTATGCGCGCATGCAGGAGGTGACGGACCGGTCGCCGTCGGGGGAGGAGCACGTGAAGATCGTGGAGATGGACGTCGGCGAACAGGCGCGGCGTGGGCGGAGCAGCTGCTCCGCGGCGGCCACCGAGTCCAGGGAGCGGCGCCTCGCCGAGTACTACCACGGCGACGGCGGCGGCGTCGGGCAGTGCTCGCCCGCGGCGTTCTTCGGCGCCGAGCTCAGCCTGCCGCGCGCCTACAGCGGCCACTTCGAGGACGTGTTCGCGTTCGACCCCGCGGCCACGGCGCGGAGCAGCCCGTACGTGGCCCCCTACGACGCCGCTGTCGCCGCGGCCTGCGACGGGTACGGCGTCGTCCCGAGCTACATGGCCAACACGGAGTCGTCCCGCGCCAAGGCCCGGTCCCAGAGCGCACCAAGGCAGCGCACCAACGCCGCGGCGCTGGAGCGGCAGCCCAGCAGCGATCGGCAGCCCAGCAGCATGCGCCGCGGCCAGGGCGCGCCCAGGAAGATGCAGCGCTCGTCGTCGCACATCAGCGTGCCAGCGGCGGCCGCGTGCGGGTACGGCTATGGGTACGGGTACGGCTACCAGCATGCGCAGCCGTGGGCGGGCGTCAGGCTGGACCGCTCCAGCGCGTCGGTGGTGGGCAGCGAGTGCGGGTCCACCAGCTCCGTGCTCACCGCCGCCACCGTCGGCTACTAACACCGGCTCTAACACCGGCTGTAAGAGCATTAAGACATGAAGAATTTTGTATGTCCTATATACAACTAAAAAGACTAAAAGTAAGATTATTTTTTGGTGCGAATTTTTTTGTCGTTCTTCCCTTTTAGCCATGCGATACCCCGCGCGATAGAAAAAAAAACTGCGATCCCTGTGATCCCCCTGCTTTGAAGGAAACAAATCGATCACCTGAGGCCACATGTATGGAAGGAAACAATAACCATGCATGGAAGAAAACAATTGGCAAAGATCAAGCAAGACTCCTCCCTTCCGGCCATGCGATACCGCGACGATAGAAAAACAAACTGTCATCCCTACGATCTCCGTCTGCTTTGAAGGAAACAAATCGATCACCTGAGGCCACATGCATGAAAGAAAACAATAATAATGCATGGAAGGAAATAATTGGCAAAGATCAAACAAAACGACTCAATGAGGTTGGCCCTTAATTTTAGTGTTTCTAGCATGCAGACCTAAAAATAAAAAGTGGCTGCTCCTTGAGAACATCAGTGGTGCCAAATCAATAATGTGCAGGTTATATATGGTGAGACTGGTGAACATTATGTAATTTCCTAAATGAATATTCCCACCATTCGTATATAGATCCATTCCCCTGCGTTTCTTCGTGCTCCAATTAGCATATAATATGAAAGTATTGTTGTGTTCATCATGACTTTCAATTGACTACTCCCATTAGCATATACTTTCTCTGCCCCAAAATATAAGTCGTTATGGGATGTGTGCAGGTTAAACTTTCTCAACTTTGACTAGGTTTGTAAAAAATACGTGCAACATTTATATCTCCAAATAAGTTTATTACGAAATTATATTCAATGGTCTATGTAATGATACTAATTATATATTATAAACATTAATATTCTTTTATATATGATTGGTCGAAGTTAAAAAGAAGTTGACTTCTCGAAGAGAATGAATTCTATTTTGGGACAGATGGAGTATATGAAAATAGTGTTGAAAATATTTTAACAATCAAGATTGTCTCTGTCTGATTGGTAAGCTTAGACATCATAATGGCATCAAAAAATTTGACTCTCATGGACACCCTTATGGATCAGTGCAAAGCATCTTAATCCTACAGCATACACAAATGGCAATCTTAAAGTTATGATATTTTCAAATGGTGGACAATAAAGACCATCTTAGACATTCTGGCATTATAGTATATACGTGCAGACACATAGACATGGTGGTGCAAGTGAGCAGCCAGCAGGAGTCGAGAGTTAGGGGGCGTTTGGATCCCAGAACTAAACTTTAGTCCCATTTTTAGATATCAATTAGGAGGACTAAACATGAGCTAATTATAAAACAAATTATATAAGTTGTGGCTAATTCGCTTGTTAGTGCCGTGTACATGATGGTATGGAGATGTGGTGGAACTTATTCGTGGATTTGTTGCGCGCGAAAGAAATGGATATTGGAAATCTCTTCCTGTCGGTATAAAAAATGATCTTAGCCACATCACGAAAAGATCTACATAGTAGAGTTTATGAGTCTGCGACGCCATGCTCTCTGTGACTGTGTAAATTTCATGAACTTAGCCTTTTGGATTAAATGTCACTTTAACGTCGGTCATATACTTTTACAGTTTTGTTATCTTATCGTGCGATCCGTGTGTTTTTAGTACAAAAGTTTAGTTGTCCCGTAGCAACGCACGGGCACGAACCTATTTACATATATACTCGAACCTATGTGTACATGATTATATGGAGATGCAGTGGAACTTATTCATGAATTTATTGGCGCATGAAAGAAATGGATATCGTAGAATTCTTTCCGTCGATATAAAATATTATCTTAGCCGTATCACAAAAAAGTCTATATAGTAGAGTTTGTGAGCCTGCGATGTCGCGTTCTTCGTGACTGTGTTAATTTCACGAACTTTGTTTTTTGAATTAAATGTCGCTTTGACATCGGTATTTAATTTAACAGTATTGTTATCTTATCGTGCGATCCGTGTGTTTTTAGTACAAAAGATTTAGTTGTCCCGTAGCAACGTACGGGTACGCTACCTAGTAGAGGTTTATTTTCATGACAATGTGCGGACCGGACGTATAGGGGTGTCCATGCTCTTAGAAAGTTAGAAGTAAGAAATTCAAAAGCATAATATAGGGGTGTTTTATGGTATATTTTATAATAAAATATTTGGAAAATCTAGCTTCAGATTAAGCAGTGGCGGAGTTAGAGAAAATTAGAGGGTGGTGCATTTGTTTTATAGGTGTGAAAATTTAAACTAAAACCATGGTAAAATTTTGATTTTAGTATTGGTTATTTTTCAAATTTTAGTGGTGCACCCACGAGCTACAAAGCTTCGCCACTGAGATTAGGGTTATTTTAGTTCATTTTTCATAATTGGAGGTGGATACATTGCAAATTTAAGATTTATTTAATACAACTTTCACAATAATTGAGGTGTGCAATTTAGATGGTAGATGTATTGTTTTTCATAATGATAGATTGACAAAAGTGGTTAATTTAGAAACAAAATAGATCTAATAGTTGTTATTAGTTCCTGTGATGATTAGATTTTTATCAAATTCATAATGGATGTATTTTTTAGAATTTTATGATTTATGCCTTTATCTAGCACGTCATGTGAGAATAGTATGGAGCCTCCAACTAGTAGTCCTTTTTTCATTCTAAATTGTAAGACGTTTTGGGTTTTCTAAATACATTATTTTTACTATGTATTTATACATAGTGTATATCTAAGCGCAAAGCAAAAGCTATGTGTCTAGAAAACCCAAAAGTCTTACAATTTATAATGGAGTGCTTGATATGATAGCATGTTTGCAAACCCTCATCAGAATTATAGACCTTCTAGGTCAAGGTGCATAAGAAACCTTTCTTAATTAAACTGGTCCAATTAGATTGTAGGTTTATACTTCCTCCGTCCTGAAATATAATGCATTATATGTGGTGTCCATGCTCGCATTAGCCAAAGTTTATTAAAAAGGAAACCATAATTTGAGAAAAAAACTCCTTAATTAGGTTTAGTCCATGGGTACGTACGTTATTTGAGTGTTCCCTTAGTTTATCTTAAATTTCTAGAATGTGTTATCTTACAGAACAGGAGAAGCATAAGTTATGGGGATTGGGGACACGTGCCTAGATTATAAAGATAAAATAAATTGGATTATGTGCACGTCTTATATTTTACACAAATGGCTTGCCCCACGGCCCGACGTCTCTGCCCGGCCCAGGCACGGCATGGCCTAGTGTAACATCCTTGGGTTTCGTGTAACAAAAAATACGAGCTTTTTAAATTTTTTTCCAAAATGTGTGGAGCATGTAGTTCTAGGTCAAACTTAAACACACTAATAAATCATTGCAATCATTTAGAATTGGTTGTAGGAGAGCGCCTGTGCTTTGAGTTGGTTTTGGGGTTTGAGTCTTGTTGGAGTTGGAGTGCACAAATCCGTAGAGAAACTCCATTCAATCTCTTTTGAATTCCCTATCAAATTCCTTGAGACCTAATTAATATAAAGGTTCCTTTTCCTTTTCCCTCTTAATCATCATAGCAAAATGGGGAAACCTCTATCTCTTCCCTAGCAAGGAATTGGAGAAAAATCCCTTCTCCTCCTCTCCTTGAATTCCTCTCAAGTCTCTCTTGAATTCACCTAAACTCCTATTCAAATCACTCTCAAATTCATAAATCATAAAAGGAAAATCCTTTCTCTTTTATTCCCAACCCACCTCCTCTCCCTCTCCTCGCGCCTAGCCTAGCTAAGGCCGGCCCAACATGCCTCCCCACCATCTCCTTGCACGGCCCCGGTCGCCTCCACCCGACGACCAAGCTCGCCACCTGGCCAAGACGTAGCGCCTTGCCTAGCCTGCTCGTGCACGTGGCCCGCAAGCCCACCAGCCCCCGTAGGCTTGCCAGCACACTCGCGCGGCCCCCGTGGGCCCAATTACCCGGCCCCCGTAGGCCCACCAGCGCGCCCCTGCCAAAAAAACCATAACCCTAAGTCACGCCCCCAATTTTCCCAGGTGTCGCTACCGCCTCCCATGCACCCGCATCGTGGCCGCCTCAGCATCCGCATGCGCACCCGAATCTAATGGGGACAGGGATCCCGATCTTTCATCAGGTAGAGGTAACTATCGTTGTGGCAGAGAATGACACATCGATCCAGCTTCAGATCAAAAGATCAAACCCTGTAATCTTAGCACCACAACTCCTCTGGTTATCAACCGAGACTCGGTTCCGGTTGACCTCGCCAAGAAGGCTAACCCCTACCTGCGCAACGAAGAACACAAGCAAGAGCACGAAAGAAAACAACTAAATTGCAGATGAATGATTAATTGGGGTCTCACAAACCGATGAATGGCAAAACTGTTCTTGACAGATTAATCTAAGCAAAACTCAAACCCTAATGGAGGGGTGATGGATGTTTATGAAGACTCTAGGGTCATGCAAAGACCCCTGGATGCACCACCTAATGGGCCCAAACACGATACATGGTCCAACGGACCAAAAGACGGTGTCGCAGCACCCTGGTAGATTCTGGACGCTGACTTGTTTCGACGATTTCTTTTGATTCCGAAGGGCTTTTGATGTGAGACCACTTGCATTGGCTTCCTTATCTAATTAGCTTTCCATCCATATGTGGATCATCAAAAACAGAGCCCAGACGTGCCCATGTGACTAGTTTTATGACAGACTGGTCCTAGAACCCGAGATGGGCTCCAACTTCAATTGGACTAGGCCTCCACCATGAGAAAGATGAATTGGACGCCCATGCTAGACCTCCTCCTCTCCTTGGCTTGTATGTGACGGAGTGATGTCCTCGTCATGACCCTCTCCTGTGTTCCTAAGCAAGATAACATCATTAGGTAGTAGTCTATTCTCAAAAGTATGAAAAGGATCACTTAAGAACGAGCTCACCTCTAAATTGAGTTGACGCATTCGAGCTCGGGTCATTGGACCTTGCATAACTGTTGGAGGATCAGCGGTTGGAGGATCG